CCCCTTTTTTCTAAAGGGGAAGGATTGTGAGATAGCAAATTTTTATTTCGTTATGGTTTTGTTTTCAGTTACGATACTTCGCATTCTACTTAACTACGTCATTTAAAGTTTATAAAAGTTATGAGACTGACACCAATTTCCTGTTTCGGTAACTTGCAGATATTAATGTTTCAAAAGAGTATGTAAATAATATTAATATCAATTTTTAATATTTTTTCAATAAATTGTTTCACGAGAGATAGTGAGCAAGTGTTATTATTGCTTATTAAATATTTTAATAACTTTAATTATATATATTTCTTATTTTTTCTGTTTCTTTTTCTAATTCCTTTCATTTATGGAAATATTAACATTGTTCTTTCATCTTGGTAAGAAGTTCTGGTAATCTTCTTATGTATGAACTATATGTAAACTATTTGATAGTTTAGTTTATAAGGAGTCAAAGAAGGACTTCTTGGAAACAAATATACCCAACAACACCTTCAACCGTATATGAACGAACATAGCCATGTTGTACAGAAGGCATATTGAACGTTGAAAAGCATCGGAAGCTACAGCGAGAAGCTTACAACCGTAAGAGTCTTTGCCACAATTAAAATTACTTAACTCACTACTACTACTATTATTTAAAGTACATCGATTATCTCCTATAGTAAATAGTATTGCTCAACTTTTATTCTAATAGGGAATGTACAACTCGAACTTAGTACTTGTTTATATAAATAAATAAATAAATAACACAAATATGCTAATGATAGGACAATTTTACGTGTATAAAAATAAAAATATCTATTTTCTCCAGTGAAATTCTTTCTACACCAGAGGAAATCCTTATCTTATGCCTTTGCAGAAAATTTCAATGGCGCAAGAAGGTTTTGAGATAGCTTCTCCCCCCCCCCCCTTCTCCAATAACATGAACTTATTTTGGCGTGTCCATATCTCATCTTTCAATTTATGTCTTTTGCTCAACCTAGATGGTCTTCGAACTCAAGCACTCCCTGTAAGGTGAACCAGAGCAGGAACCTAGAGAAGATCAATCTGAGGAGTTAAGGACATAAACAATTTGTCCTAGTATCTGTACTTAACTGTAGGGGGGGGGATTCTTGATGTCAGTATAACGATGGCCTTAAAAGTAAGAATACTAAAATTGGGAATTTATAAGGTATGATTTAATATTATCACATTCTTTGTCTAAAGCGGAAGGAGTGTGAGATAGCATATTCTATTGTTATTTTGTTATGGATTTCTTTACCGTTCCTTTATTCATTCTATCGTTTAGTTAAGCTCTGGATGTTTATTTTCACTTAAACGTTAACTCACCTTCTAGCTGATCGCACATATTTTTAACTTGTATGAATTATGAGACTGACATCGGTTTCTCCTATCAGTGACGTGCTGGTATTAATATTGGTAAAGAGTATGTACAATATTTGTTTAATTATTACAAATTAACTGGTCTTAGAACTCTAACTTCGTTGAGCTGAACTAGAACCGAAAGAAAGTCGAATATATAAAAATGATTTCTCCTTGTACTGTATCTGTACTTAAACTGTGATGGATGTCAGTATAATGTTAAGAGTAAGGATTTATAACTTTAAACTGATTAATGTAATCACTTTTTTATTTTTAAAGGGAAAGAAGTGAGAAGTAGTAAGTTCACTTTTTTATTTAGTTTTGGATTTGTTTACAGTTTATTCATTCTATCATCATTTAGTTAAGTTGTGAATTTTTAGTTTAAATTTTAGTTATGCACATCAATTTTAATTATGAGAACGACACCAGTTTCTCATAGCGGTGTCTCATAGATGTTAATGTAGGTAATGAGTATATAAATAATGATCACATTATTTCAAATCTCTTGATCTAATTAATTATCGCATCTTAGCTTAACTTCCCGTAACCTGAATCTCAGCAGAAGGTAGAGAAGCTGAAGATCTGAGAACACTACGCCTTTTCTTTGTAAGGTATATGTACTTAAACTGGGCAGGATTCGTGGTGTCACTATAATGAGGTCAATAGTAAGGGTACTAAAACTGGTAATTTATAAGCGGTGATTAATGTGATCACTTCGGTTTTCAAACGGGGAAGGAATACGAGGTAGCAAATTCTACTTTGATTTCGTTATGGTTTTGTTTTCTGTTCATTTATTATTCTTTCTATTGTTTATTTTTACCTGTAACATTTGTTTTACGTTTAAACGCTACTTCGCATTCTAATCAATTATGTAATTTTAAAGTTTCTAAAAGTTATGAGACTGACACCAGTTTCCATTACCGGTGACTTGCAGATATTAAAGTTGTAAAATTTTTAATTTAATGTTCTGAATAAAGACTTTGTCATGAGTTTCAATGACTTTTCTCACGTGATATAATGATCAAATGTTGTTGTTCGATGTTTTAAGTTTTATACACGTCTTTCTTCCATTCCTTTTTCTATTTGTTTATATAAATATTAAACTGTTATTGATAGCATATTTTTCTTTCGTGTTAGTGGAAAGTTCTGGCCACTGGCTCATTCATACACTGTATGCAGGCTATTTGATAGTTTACAAGGAGTCAAAGAAGGACTTTTTGGAAACAAAATATCCAACATTACCTGCAACCGTAGATGAACGAATAGAAATATCTAGAAATGTTATACAGAAGGCAATATCCAACGTTGAAATACATCGAAAGCTACAGCGAGAACCCTACAACCGTTAGTATCTTCTGGACACAATTAAAAGTAGTTAATTAACTACTGCTGTTATTAAGAATATATTCATTATCTTCTGTATTAAATTGTTTTATTCTAAAACTTATTCTAAGATGTAATGAAATGTCTAAACTTACTATTTCTTACTCCATTTTTTATATTAAAATCAATTTAATGGTAGATCAGTTTTACTTGTCTAAAGTGAAGAAAGTATTTTCTCGACAGAATTATTTCTATACCAGAATGTTCATCGTTCTATGTCGTTGCAGAAAAAGAAATGGCGACAGAAGGCTTGAAGAGTGCCTCCCCCTCTCTAATAAGGTGATTTGTTTGTGTCCACATCTCATCTTTCGACTTGACGAATCATCTGCTCAACCTAGATGGTCTTCGAAGTCAACCACTCCCTGTAAGGGGAAGTACAGCAGGAAACAAAGATAAATCTGAAGGCTAAGAACATAAACAACTTGTCCTAGTAACTGTACTTAACTGTAGGGGGATTCATAATGTCAGTATAACGATGGACTTAAAAGTAAGAATACTAAAATTGAGAATTTATAAGCAGTGATTTAATATTATCACATTATTTGTCTAAAGCGGAAGGAGTGTGAGATAGCATATTCTTTTGTTATTTTGTTATGGATTTCTTTACCGTTCGTTTATTCATTCTATCGTTTAGTTAAGCTCTGGATTTTTATTTACTCTTAAACGCTAACTCACCTTCTACCTAATCACTCCAATTTTTAATTTATATGAATTATGAGACTGACATCAGTTTTCCCCATCAGTGACGTACAGATATTAATATTGGTAAAGAGTATGTACATGATTTATTATTTAATTATTGCAGATTAACCGGTCTCTAACTTCGTTAACCTGTACTAGAACCGAAAGATAGTCGAATATATAAGAAAATGGTTTCATCCTTCAACTGTATCTGTATATAAACTGAAGTATATCGGTATAACGTTAAAAGTAAGGATTTAATTTTAAACTGATTAATATAATCACTTCTAAAGGGGAAAGTGTGAAGTAGAAAGTTTCATTTTATTTAGATTTGAATGTGTTTATTTATTATTCATTCAATCATTTAGTCAATCTGTCAATTTTTAGTTTGCATTTTAGTTATTCACATCAATTTTAATTATGAGACCGACACCAGTTTCTTATAGCGGTGACTTGTAGATGTTAATGTTGGTAATGAGTATATAAATAATTATCACATTATTTCAAATCTCTTTATCTAATTAATTATCGCAGCTTAGCTGGTCTTTGGACTTAACTTCCCGTAACCTAAATCTCAGCAGAAGGTAGAGAAGCAGAAGATCTGAGAACACTACGCATTTTCTTTGTAAGGTATATGTACTTAAACTGGGCTGGATTCGTGGTGTCAGTATAATGAGATCATTAATAGTAAGGGTACTAAAATTGGGAATTTATAAGCGGTGATTAATGTGATCACGTCGGTTTTCGAACGGGGAAGGAATACGAGGTAGCAAATTCTACTTTTATTTCGTTAT